CAATTTTTTTTCCATATTTCGATTCTATAACTCAAATTATGCCTAAATATTTAATTTTGTAAAATTTGGTTTGAAATTTACTGAGAAATTCAAAAACTTATCTTGGCATATTTTTTCAGTTTTCGCCAAGAATAACTTACTTGGCAAACTTCTTAATTTATAGCAACCTATTTTCCTTTTCTTTTTTTCATTGTAGACGAGCTGGGGGAAAAATCATCGTTCATACTTTCAAATCATTTTAACAAAGTGTGTTTTATCATTTGGCATTACTATCGCTAAAAAAAAAAAAAAAAAAAAAAAAAAAAAAAATTTGAATAAATAGTTTGACAAATTTTGAATAAAAAAACTCTAATTTTTTGCAAGTGTGCCTAGAAATACATCTGCTTTAAGATGATGTTAAAAATTTCATAGGTTTTAATGCAAAACGTTTTTCGAAAAATTTATAAAAAATATTTTTAAATACAAATTTAAAAAATAAATCATAAAAGATGCACGAATTATATTTGGATTGACAGTAAATTTTGAATTCTGGAAAAAGGAATCAAGTAAGTTTAATAAAAAAAAGAGCTATTAATAAATATATATCATATTCAATTAATATTGAGGAGCTAAAATTTTGAGAGCTAGTTTTTTTAAAAAACTACTTAGTTTGGTGTAATTTGAGTCAAAGAATTGACATATGGAAAAAAAGTGGCATGTCATTTCAGAAAAAGTCCGATTTTGTGTCAAAATACCTATATTAGAAAAATGCTATATATAAATCTAATACATATCCTAAGTTGCACTTTCGAGACATGAAAAACGCCAAGTTGAATTTCGGCAATCGGCTCAGTAGAACGGAAGATATAGAACTTTCCCATTCCCCCCCTTTTTTTTGGCCTGTTGCTGCACACAGTGTACATAATCCTCCATTTATTACAGCTAGAACAAAAGTGCTATAAAATATTTAGATTGACCAATACCTTGAAGATAACTGTTAAAATGCTTCACCATTTTTCATAAAACATTCATGCAATACCTTGCAGCGTTTTAAAATGCTACTGTTTCTGGAAACACAGTCATTGTTTCTTCATATAAATGTAAAAAAAAGGGAGTCAAGATACCGTAATTTCCGGAAGAAACGCCGCGGCGTTTACGTGTTTAAAACTTAAATTTTCAGCGGGTGCGACATTTCTACCCATGTGGCATTTAGGTGCACTAAAAATAAAATATTTCCTATGATGCTCATTGTACATAGTTTGGATGGCCTTGTCATTGTGCATAGATTGGTGCTGTTCCCACACAAAAGACCACTCAGTTGCTTTTTTGCAAACGTTATTTTGTTTACGTTCTTTCCCTTGAATGGATCTACATGCATTATTCAACCTAAACGAGGTCTCAGAACAATAACATTCTTCCCCCCTTTCAAATCAACATTCTCATCAGTTCGAATAGTCTCTCTCCTCTGCCATTCGATGAATCTTCCAGGACCCATCCTCTCCCCACCCCTGCCTTTCTGCAATTTTTTTCAAAGGCGGACACGACTCCACCTGCCTCGCAATAACGAACTCTGACGTATTTCCCTTTCAGCATGAATGGATTTTTCTTGGCATTCTGCCAAATACAGATCCCATCAGTTAGGATACAAGTACTTGTTGGATAGTTTTTAATTAGGGAGCGGAAAATTTTTGAAAATGTCTCTAAACGGCACAGAAGCTATACATTTCTTACCTTTAATTTATTTTTGAGTTATGGTTTCATTTCATGCATTTTTCTTAACTGGTATGTTCATATATCAGGACTAATTTTTATGTTGAGCGCTTTTAATCTAAATTTTTTTTCACGCCATTATTTTTTTTCATCGTATGCGGGCCTCTTCGGATTCGCTGATCATGCAATTTATCTCTAAGTTAAAAGTTTCGCTGTAATTATTTTCTTTCAATTCAGAATCCCGTTCCAATTCGATTTTTTTCGTTTCCAATCAGGTGTTGTTTTTGCTATCGAAAATAAATTATAATGCGAAGAATTTGATTTAAATCATATCAAGACAAAGAAATGCATTTAATAAGCGACTATAAGCAAACTAAAATAACAAACATCTGCCTTAAGATAAGGATAGTGCTGACACATCAACTTCCCAATTCATTGCGCGCGCGAGTAAAGATAAACAAGGTTTAGATAACAAACGTTAAAAGTTTAGACAAAACAAAGTTTATATATATGCCTTTTACCATTTTTTGCAACAATTCCACTTTTTGTTTAATGGACTTCGAAATATACTTTCGTTTTGTAGATCCTTTACATATTAGTAAATATATATCGGAAATTCTATTTGACATAATCGAAAGTTCAAGCTTACTTTTATAAAATTGCTCTAACAGTCTGCAAAAAATAATAAGACGAATCCAATTCGAAGATTAAGGAACAACGCAATCTGCAACATTAACTGAATTAGATCATTTTAGCTTAGCTTATATCGTCCGTTATACATTAAACGCGCATTCGTAAACGTATTTTGTGCATGCGCACACGCGTATTTGCAGCCGTACGGGTCTTTTTCGACGCATGTGCAGAAAAATTGTAGCTTTGAGGTCCAGATTATAGATCATTCCAGATTATGGGTGTCCGAATTAACGACTTTTGACTGTATATGATTGTACTCTGTTAATGTTTTTATAGTATTCAAGGCATAAAAAGCAGCTCCGGAATATTATGCTAGAAGCGGTACTTTCCTTCTAAAACTTTTCAATGTTCCAGCCTTTTAGACTTTAAATTACAAGCAGAAAAAAAATCAAAAGATATTTTTAATACTGAAGTTTCTTTCCAGTATTGAGGTGCAATCTTCACATATACTGCTGGAAGGTCCCCCCCTAAGGTTAACCAGAATCAAGCCTAACGAACCATCTTTTTTATTTATAAAATTCATTCTAATATATGTTCTATTGTGACTTCATATAAATGTAAAAGAAATTTATTCTATACATTCTAAAAGAAGTATAGAATGTAGCTTCAAAGTAAAGCAACAGGATAGAGACATTTCATTCACATAGATCTTTCTTAGCATATTGGAAAGTGATCTCACAGGACCATCCATACATATAAAAATTTGACATAAAATTACTGGGTGCCCACCAGCGGCTGAGCAGTAAAATCGCTGAACACTGGTAGTTCGGTCCGAGGTTCGAATCGCACAAACAGGCTGGCTGCATAGGGGTTTTTGTGGTTTTCCCCGCATGTAATGTGTATACGAGCCAGTTTCCCTTAGAAAGTCCTCCATGAAGGCATCCTTCCCCTTAGGCAGATAGCCCTTGTGTACTTTGCCGTATTCTCAATACACCACCACCACACCATATAATTACTGGTTCGTGTGGTGTTTGCACCCATTTAGCAAGATGATTTACTTATGCCCACATTATTTCACTATTCAGAAGATTAATTTATGATGAATTAATTAGTTTTGTATGAATAATTTAGTTTCTTAGGAAGATATATTGATACAGTAGTCATACTGTAAGGTTTTATTGTTCTAGATGCAGATGTCACGAAATTCAAATCTAACGCATATTTCTTTTTGAAATTTTACATGTTGAATATTTAGGTAGTTTTGGAAAAGTTGCACAATTTCAACTTCTAAGTTTAAGCACTTTCGGAATTAAATAGATACAAACTTTCCCAGCAGTTAATCTGACTGCTGCAGCAGTTTCTAGTGTTAAGGAGTAACTGAAAATATCAGACTGTCTACTAGAAATCTGGACACGTTTAAAAAATTTCCGTAACCACCCAGAACTTCTGAAAAACTTCTATATCTGTAGTTATAAATACTTTAGGTGTTTGTTGTATGTAACTAAATAGTATCAATGTACTTGCAAAAAATTAGTTGAAACAGATTTGTTCTCAAATAAGTGAGACTGCTTATATTCCACAATTTCTTGTTAAGGCAGAGCCAGCTTGGGCAGATATAGACACTTCAATGACTAGGAGCCATTCTATCACAGCAACTTAGTAGAAAATTGTAATTTTTTGCCATTATATCAGTAGGTGAACAACACAATAAATTAATTTTTTCATCATGTCACAGCAGAGAACTGTGATGTATCTGCGAAGTAGCTGGTATAAGGCTATAGAAAATGATGATCTATATGTTCTTAAACACAGAAATATACTTTAGTATAAAGATTTATTGTGTCTAAATTTTTATTAAATTGTCCAATATAATTAACTGCAGGAATTTATTCATACCTCAAACTGTGCTAGCAAGATTTTGTCTCTTGTAAGAGTTATTTTATTTTATTATAGAAAAAGCATAATATGTATGTTATCTGTTAAAGTAATAAACAAAATAATAGTGATGTATAATTTAGTTTTTAGGTTTTTGCAACACAGTGTTTTTGTTGTCAGTTGAAGTTAACTTGTTTGACCGCAATTTGTGATGTTGTAAACGTCCAACAAAGTAATTATTTTAGTAATTCAAATTATTATTTTTACCCTGCTGTTTGTTTTTAAATTTTAGTTTTAGACACACTTTTCTATAGTCAATTAAGTAGAAAAATTAAATCTAAATTAAGATGTTGCATTACAAAATGCTTTTATAATTTCAGAATAATTTTTAAAACCTATTAATTCATATGCAGTGCAATAGACATACAGAAAGATTATGTTCCTAGTTAGAAGCATGTTTTATGAAAGTACTCTTAAGTATATCTTAAAAACTTTCAGTTTAGGGCTCTAATGGAAGAAAATTAACTTCACGGAGAGCTCCAAAAGGACAGCATGAAATTTTTAAGACTACTTCTGTGCAGATATATTTTCAAGATGCTTATGCAAACCTGTAGGACTTCCACACTTTAAAGAAAATATCTAAATTATAAAGTATCACTATATATGCTGCCACACAAATGTGCATTTAGGTGCAAATGTGCATTATATTGACAGATAGTTGGCACCTGCAAAATAAAATTCAATTGTAGCACTTTCTGCAAACACACATTATTTGTTCAAAGGATGGTGAAATAAGCAGCAAAAATTTACGTATAATTACCTTAAGACATGTTGGGATAATCTTAGCTTAAAGTTTATGAACCTCTATATAACCAGATGATTAGCAGATTTTTCAATAGGTTACACGGATCTACATTCTTCTTGCTTCTGATTAGTTAAATAGCGATTTTATAGGGTCCTTTACTGTGACATTTTAATTTAAAGTCCATCAGATCATATTAAGACTGTTAAGCAAGTTATCATCCCATCTGAAAATGTACAAAAAAGTCTTATGGTAAATATTTAAGCTCAAACTGAACAGAAAGTGCAACTTATGTGTACAATCAAAACTCTGCCACTTAAGTATACTAAAATAATATTAAGTTGAACTTACAGTTTAAAAAGGGATCGTAACCAGAGGCTAAAATCTAAAATATGGCCTAACTAAGCTGGCTCAAACTTTAATGGCGCTACTTAACTCTGGCTAGCAAATGACTAATGTCGGAATATTAACTGGCAAAGCTGGGTGACAGAAAGTAACGCTGCCAAAAGCTTTGTATCCAAACCATTCAAAACTCTCACCATAAGTACTCTTTAAATCATTTGCATTCTGATAAAGGCTAACAAGAAGGAGAAGTTGTGTTAGAGATCGAAATTGTAAAAATTGTTTAATAACATATCTTTCAGTTTAATCAATCATATTTACCTGGCACTAGTCCTATATAGTATACAACAGGTAAGCAAAATTAATAGCCACAAATGGAGAAATATTAAAGTGCATCTTTTAGTAGTCATTATCAAACATGGAGTTTTCATCCAATTTTACCTTATCCTACTACAAAGCATATACAGTATAAAGTCTTTAATCCGGACTCGTCGGAACTTCGACGATTCTGGATTAGGGGTTTTTCCGGATTATAGATCATCAATTTAAATCTCGTAAGATAGCATGCAGAAATTATAAAATTAAAAAAATGAAACCATAATTTATGAAATAAAGAGCAATTATGATATCAAAATTTAAAAAAAAAAGCTTAATATTTATTTGTTTACTTTAGTAAACATTTCTTTCAATGTAAGCTGTTTAAGTTGCTTCGTTTTATGCGCTAATACTTTCTTTTTAATTCTATAAACAGACATAATTTCTTATAATGTCTGTTTCATCATATAAATGATGATACAAGTATATTTTTATCCCAATTATAATCTTCATAGCCTAGTGTATATAAATGATAAAAGAATTCAGTTCTAATGAGTTATAGAAGTTCTCGTCACAGTATTTTAATTGCAAATTGCAAAGTTCCGCTGTTCAAGGTCCTGTAATTGCTGTGCCGAGAAATACCGACTAATTTGTCAATCGAAATTTTTTCGTTTTCACTAAACTCTCTGTCACTTTCTTCATGCCTTTATCCATTTTTTGCAGCAATGCCACTTTTTGTTTGATGGGCATCGAAACATGCTTTTGCTTTGTAGATCCTTTGGCAGCTCCAGAATCGGAAACTCTTTTTGACATAATCGAAAGTTCAAGCTTACTTTTTATAAAATTGCTCTAACAGTCTGCAAAAAATAATAAGCCGGATCCAATTAGAAGATTAAGGAACAATGCAATCTGCAACATTAACTGAAATAGATAATTAGATAATTTTAGCCTAGCTTATACCGTTTGTTATACATTAAAATGCGCATGCGTAAACGCATATGCATGAGTGCTACGCATGCACAGAAAATTTGTAGCTTTTGAGGTTTAGATTATAGATCATTCCGGATTATGGACGTCCGGATTAAAGACTTCGTACTGTACTAGACATATGTATACCAGATACATGTAAGCCATACTTCAAACCAAACCCACCGAAAGCCATATTTCAAACCAAATACACTGAAAACTTAGTTGTTGCATACAAAATTCCTAAAATAACAGAAAATAATAACAGTTCTATTTAAACTAGTTAATGTACATCAAAATTCAAGAATTATGCAATACTTACAAGTTAGCCTTTCGGTGACTTTTCATTTTATTAAGAAAAAGAGGAATCTGTAACTTAAGTAAAAAACAAAATGCTCTGCTACAGCTCTGGAGTAAAAAGATTTTTTGTAATCTAATATCATTCTAAAGCTTTAAAAACAGATGTCCAGAGAACAGCAGCATGACTATAGTGAGTATCAAATGAAATGGTGATGATGATGAAAAAAGTGCTTGAATAGCAACTTTTTAACACTCAAGTCAGGTATTTTCCTTTTTTCTTCAAAATATGCAATTTCCATTAGTAGATGAGTATCTAATAATGCAATTCCAAACCTAAAAACAGAAATAATGTGTGTCTTAAGTTAAACATCCAAGATATGAAATTATATGCAATATCATTAATATGTTATTTGCAGAATGTTTTACAAGATGCTCAAGGTATCATTTCAGTTTTTATAATAGAAGAGACACAGTGACCATTAATACACATTATTTTATCAATACTTCTAACTATTTCAAAAATGCTTAAGAAATCTGTTTCAATATTTTTTCCATCAACATGTAAACATATGCTTACATGCTACATATAATACACTACAAGCATTATTCCTGTATCATATAAATGATGATACAAGTATATTTTTATCCCAATTATAATCTTCATAGCCTAGTGAATATAAATGATAAAAGAATTCAGTTCTAATGAGTTATAGAAGTTCTCGTCACAGTATTTTAATAAGCATCATAAATACCCCCCCCCGCCCTCCCCAAAAAAAAGCTAAAAAATAGAGGAAGTTCCTTAGAGCTAAGCCAAAAATTACAGATTTCCAAGTACACTGATACTGCACATAATAAATACCTTGCATTAAGAAACACAGGCAAATACTCTTTCATATTATTATCATGTTGCACACAGTGTTAAATTTGTTTTGGTTTCTGTTTAAAAGGCATATATAAGTGTAATGTACAGAAAATGCATTCCAAAAAAAAAAAAAAATACTGCTTCATATTATATTACCAAAGAAGAATTGCAAGTCCTTCTGTAGAACAAACAGATGTAACCAAGATGACATTTACACGGGTTTACTGCATCCAAGCTGAGTGTAGGGATTATGTCATTAATGCATTGTGCATACAGAAAAATTACTTTCCACAAAGTTAATTTTCTAGAGAGAAAATGTCTTAGGTACAATTCAGATTAAGAAAGTATATAAAATTTAAATAAACCTAATTATTGTTGTCATTAAATGGAAAAAATAAAACTAAATTTATTGGGTTTTTATTCTGGCTTAATAAGTATGTGATACAATTATAAAAAAAAAAAAAAAAAAAAAAGCTGCTTGGGGCAGTGACTGACACAACTCCCTAGGTTTTCTGCCTTCACAGCAGTTTTCAATGCTTCTCATAAAGTGCCTTTTTTCTTCATTTGGGTCAATTTCGAATGCAATATCAGACAGTTCCAGCAGCTTTTTTAACTATTCATTTACCTTCTTGCAAGTTAAAAATGCATTGTCTTCATGATCAATGCCTTTATTGTCTGCAGGTGTTCTAAGATCATCTAATCCTTCACTGTCATTTCTTGATTAATTTTAACTTTGCTCTCTTCCTCTCTCTGAAAATTCTTTGCTGCCATTAGCTTTTGTAATAATCTGTATGATTTCTTTGGCTTCATTTTCAAATTGAAATCCTTTAAACTTGCTGATTACTTCTGGCTACAGCTGATACAAGTAAACATTCGGTGTTTATAAATGAATACTGAATGCATATAAATGAAATTCTAGCAATTGACAAATTAAACGGAAACAATTAAGATAACACACATATGCAAAAGTGTGTCCTACAAATCTGTGCTTGGCAAGAGCTTATATACAAAGCTTTCATGCCTGCTGAAACCATCAAGGACCTAATGAAATGGGAATAGCTCCTAGGCACATCCAAATGGTGAAATTCCAATCAAGCTGAGGTGAACAGAATGACAGATCTGTTCAAAAGAAATGCCATGTATTAAAATCATGTTGATGAATATGAAAAAGTAAACAAACAAATCTGAGAAGGGATGCCCCCTCCCAAAAAAAACCTGCCCCCTCCCCAAAAAAAGTAATCCCAAGAAGATGAGGAACTGCTGAGTTTTCCACTTTTAATGAAAGACTGGGAACATACTACACACAAATGAATTGAAAAAATATAAGATTATGTACATACCTCATACATGTAAACATTTAAGTAAATTCAAATTCCCAGCATTTTCAACACTGGCAGTATTTTTAATATTCTTTGAAATTTTGCTTTACAGTATTGAACAATACAGGTCAGAGTCAGAAACAAAAAAAAAAAAAAAAAAAACTCTCAAAATAACATAGAGGAACATACACTGCACAACGAATAATCTGCATTATGAACACCACCTTTGAAAGGACTGCACATTGTGCTAGGCACCACTGTAATGCAAAATTTTGGAATTTATCTTTAACTTCAGAGTTCTATGGGGCATGACTGGCAGGTACACAGATTTAAACAAAATGTAAATGCAATCTCTCTAACAAGAGTGTTGACTTTGTGGAGAACTTTCTAATGAAAGTTAGTTCCAGCTCTTGTTACAAATAAGGAAAATTATAAAAATGTGCCAGCTACCCATTTGCCAGGATCTGAATTTTAGCTGAACTACTAATATTCTGTCATCTTACTCACTTAGCCACTGATGAGCTCTATGAAGCAAAAATATAAGATAGTTGTAGTATGTTAATATGTGACAAAATCTCTATTTACAGAACATAAGAACTTTATAGCCATTCAATGCAATCATCTGCCACATTTATAATTTTCTACCAGAGATTTAAAAAAATAATAAAAATAAATAAAAAATGTTGAATGCCATTTTGGTGATGCAGGTACAAAGTCCGAAATCTGGACCTGAAAACTGCCAACAATGTTTTTCTCGTAGGCTTTACGCATGCGCATTCCCCCTCCATGCATAATAAAACATCTGGAGGGTCCCGATTCTTATTTTCATTTCAACACTAAATAAAATACCTTGTTATTGAAGAAACAGTCATTTTAGCATAAATTTGTACGATCAGTAATTTGGCTCCACTGCTGACACACATCTCAAACCTAAACATCCCACATATACACATCGTTGATCTGACTCCAACCTGGCGAATCATTACTTATACTTTCCTTTCATCATCACATGTTTATCAAAACATGACAACTTGAGTAATGATTCATATAGTGATGCCTAAACAATTTTTTATGTTAGTAATTGAATAATAAAGAAGTATGGTACTCCTTTATGTTGACATTACGCTTGACGATGAATACAGATTTCAGTTAAATACGCTAAAAAATATTGACAACGGAAAATTTACCAAAAATTTCTTTCCATATGCTAAAAATAGATTTTTTTGATGATACTCATAGACCTATAGATTACATGTAGGGCTATTTAAGAATAACTGATTTGTTATTCACATAAACCCAGAACGAGCGCCAGGGCTCGTATGGCCGCACCGATTCGCAAAATTTAGGACCACAGAGACTGCATTAGGTGTCAAGATATCTAGCACCAGCCCATAAATAAGGCTTAAGTATATGTAGGAATTTATTTATTCAAAACTCTGATGAGCTTTAAGCATGTTCAAGAAATAGACATGAGTATAATAAATAACTAAACTAATACAAGTCACAATCATCTCAGTATGCAATAGAAGCAAGATAAAATTTAACAGAACAACTTGTTGTTAGTCGTCAAGTTCCAAATATGTATAGTGAAGGATAGCTAAATTAGATGATGATAGCCTCTAATTTTAAAGGTTTTCTGATATCGCACAACAAAGGTGAAACTTTCCAATTAACAGAATTTGTAAAGAAATGAAGAAATGTGAAGAAGCAGTAATGAAGTTTTTCATTGTGATGACAATGCTCCTCAATCATCAATCAATTAATGAATGGCGAAATCTGTAGTATGGTTCTAAATCCAGAAAATACCGCTACCGATAGAGAAGAAAGTGACAGAAAATTTACTGAAAACGAGAAAATTTCGATTGAGAAGTTACTCGGAATTCTCAAAACAGCAGTTACAGGACTTCAACAATGTAACTAAACAAGAGATTATGCATGTCTACAAAATTAAAGAGAAAGTATTAGCACAAAAAAAAAAAAAAAAAAAAAAAAAAAAAAAAAAACGAAATACCTTACATTGAAAGAAATGTTTAATAAGGTTAAACAGATAAATATTAAGCGCTTTTTTTTTTTTTTTTTTTTTTTTTAAATTTTGATACCCTTTAGATCATAAATACTTCATTATTTCCTAAATCATGATTCCATATTTTTAATTTTATAATTTCTACATGCTATCTTACTAGATTTAAACTGATGATCTAATATCCAGAAAAATCCCAATCTGGAGTTGCCGAAGTCCCAATTAGTCTCGATTTCGGACTTTGTATTCTATTAGTAAATCAGAATCTTACAGTTTGAGGCATTTATTTTGGTGAAAAAGCTCAACATTTCATTCAAATTTAAGTTAACTTAGGTCTGGAAAAGATAGAAAATGGCTATGCACCTCCCACTACTATCATGATAACGAATATCTCGAAGAAGCAGAAATGTAAGATAGTTGTAACGCAAGACAGATTGTTCAGAAATTTCAGAAACAGAAAGGTGAGATAGTTGCAACACAAGATAGAACTTGTTCAGAAATTTCAGCACTTTGCCTTAAAGTCGGGTTAAGACAGCATTGCAAAAAATATTGATAGCATTCTGAATTGACAAGAACAGTGGTGAGGAACTGCATAATGAATTGCCATGTGCAACCTTAGAGATTCCATATGCAGTACAAAGTCCGAAATCCATACATTCACTATCCAAAATGATCTAATTAATATCTGGACCTTCCAAACACCAATATTTTTTTTTAATTTTTTTGCAAAGTCTAAGAATGAAGATAGCAGAAATGACATAAAAGTGATTTTTCTCCCGACTAACTGAGATTCTTTAATATTGCTTTCAAACATTAGCTGGCCACTGTGGCCAATGGCAGTACATCAGTCATGACCGCACTTTCAGCCCTTGAAGTGGTTGTGAGAGGGTGAACAGTTTTCTTTTGTTGACATAGCAGCTGGGAAGTGAGAGACAATTAGATGCTCAACAACTTCAGTTCAATTAACATAGCAATTGCTCATACTGGCTTTCTTTTGTTGACATGGCAGCAAGGAAGACAGAAAAAATTAGATTCTGAAGTAGTTAATTTCAGTTAACATAGTAAATTGTGCTCTTCCATTAACTTTCTAAAATTTTATCCAGCTTATTACTGTTTGCAGGCTTTTGTTATT